GGTCTACAGAGAGAAGAGAGTTCCAGGACAGCCAGGGTGGTTACACAGAGAGGCCCTGTCTCAAAAAAAGGAACACACATACACACACACACACACACACACACACACACACACAGAGGGAGGAATAGAGAAGAGAAGGAGGAAAGGGAGGGAGGGAGGAAGGGAGGCAGGCAGGAAGGGAGGCAGGCAGGAAGGAAGGAAGGAAGGAAGGAAGGAAGGAAGGAAGGAAGGAAGGAAGGAAGAGAATGTTAGATAGGTCATGAGCTTGAGGAAAAACCTACTATTAAAATTGTACTAAAGGAACAGAGCAGTAAAATACTCCTAATGACATACTGATCTACCCACAGATCAATGCCTCAGTCAACACACATCAGAGAAGCTTCCTTTTGAAGTAGATGGGAATTAACACAGAGGCAATCTGCAGAAAGTAGGAAATATCGGAGCACTCACACATAAATGGGATGCCTTTATCAAACCTCAGGAATCTATGTGGAAGAAGTAGTTTAAAAAAAATGAACATGGGTCTCAGTTATAAGGCCTGGGCAGTCTAAGAGACCTCTGACAGTGGAACCAGGATGTATCCCTGGTGCACAAAAAGACTTTGGGAGCACATTCCCCATGGGGGGATACTCCCTTAACCTAGCAGGAGGGAGGGCCTAGTCCACACTCCAAATAACATAACAGATTTAGATGACCCCTTCAGGAAGGCATCACCCTACATGTGGAGTGTGGGGGGGTGGGAGGGGGTATAGGAGGGTAAAAGAGAGGGAGGGATGGAGAGGGAACTAGGATCGATATGTAAAATAAAAATAAATAAACAAAACAAAGAAACCACCTTCCAAAGAGCCAGAGTAATGGATGACGCCAAGGAAACAGTGTCTCCAGATATAACAGGACTGATGCACATATGAACTCACAGGGACTATTACAACATGAACACAAGACTGCGCAGATTCAAGCCATGCGAGTTCCAGAACTGAGAGGGGTAAGCAGGCATGAAGTCCCACTCTAACCAAAACTCTGTCTATAAATGATATCTGCTGACAAAGAGAAAATCTGTTTTCTCCAAAAGAGTCTCACTGGCTATATTGGCTACGCGCTAGGGCAGTCAACACACAAAAAACCCAGTGGTAATTTTGTGGGCTTTTTGCTTCATTTTGCTTTGAGCATTTTTTTTTAAACCTTATTGGTCATTTGTTTGTTTTGTTTTTCAGTTTTTGTGTTGAGGGATGTTTCTTGTTTGTGTTTAATGGTTGTGTTTGTTTGCTTTAAGAGAGCAAGAAAAGGAACATAAGTTTGGGTAGGTAGGGAGGTGCAGAGGATCTGGAAGGAATTGGAACGGGGGGGGGGAGGGTGTTGGGGGGGAACATGACCAAAGTATATTGTATAAGGTTTTTTGTTTTCATTACAAAATTTCACTCTTTCAAAATTAAGCCAAAACGGCAACTAGAGTGTCAGCAATTAAGTCTACGTTTCACAGAGCAGGGCTGAGAAGAGAAGACCTGGGAGCCTTGGAAATAATTCTCTTTAGATGAATAGTTCAGTGTTTCCTCTTACAGTAAAGGTCATGTGGGTGCACAAAACCATAAGGAACCAGAGGACTATAGTCCCTTAGTGGCACATTTGTGGGCTCTGCTATGGTCTGTCTCTATGTGTTCAGGACCCAACTGTGTACTCCTTTCCCACCTATGAAGCGTACCACTTCTTCTCCAGGGGATGTGGTCCAGCACCTTCCCCAGCCACTGCACCTCACCATGAGTCCAGGTGCTCTGGGCCGTGGGCAGTTCTCTTCCTCAAATCCAGGCACTGTTCTTCACAGCCTGCTAGCTTTTCATCTAGGGGGATCTGCCTTCAAAACACTTGATACCTTTAGGCAGAAAACACAACCACAGCAAGCAGCCCGTACCAGAATAAGAAGCATAGCCAAAAGACCACACTCAGTGGCCAGCAACTATAAACCCCAGCTGGACAGAGCTGGAAAGACACACAGCTTTGGATGTAAATTCCTTGAATGATTCCCTCTCACGCCTACTACTCCTCTATCTGAGAAAGACCTGTCTCCTGGGATGTTCCCCATGTTCTCTATAACTAGGTCCTGGAAAGTACCACAAGGAAAAGGGTAGGAGGCCTTTGCAGCCCACGTCCAACTGGGGTCCAAGGAGTGTTGCCAATATCTTTCCTCAAATATTCATAGGCTTGTGACATACTTGCTTCCCATTAATTCCATAAACAAATCAATAAGAACTCATCTACATTCTCAGCCTGACAATTCTCATCTTAAAAAAAAATGAACAAGAGATTATAGTTATTATTTTTAAATTATGTGTTTGTGAATGCCAGTATGTACGCATATGCATATAAGTATGAGTGCCTGTGGAGGCCAGAGAAGAGTATTGTGTTCCCAGGAACTGGACTTCCTCAGGGGTTGGAAACTACACATTGCCATCACCAGCGAGGGAACACCTCTCCGCCTCTGTCCCTGTCACTTGATACCATTGAAGCTCTCAGAAAAGAGGTTTTCCCCAGGCCTTTGATATTTCAAAGGCCAAGAGTCATATTTGTAGAATAGACTGCGCTCACAAAGCAAGTAGCTCTATAAGAAAATGGGTGTTTCTGCCTCTGCTAAAGGCTGGCCTCCTACAGTCTACCCACAACAGCTCTGTGGGAACTTTATTGAACAAGGTAAAGTAACCAGTACTTACCAACATGCTGAAGATTCTCATTATTTCCACTATGTGGTTTTTCTTCCACAGAGTGCAAACAACAAAGTTTCCTGTCCCATAATAAGAGTCAGTAACTGTCCAGATAGCAATAGTTAAATCCTCATTCTAAAAACACCCATGACCAGTGAGCCAGCCATCTGTTTTTAGCTCTCTTTCTGCCCCCAAGCTCTGGTACAGAGCCTTGTATTTATTAGAATTCTGTTTGGTTGTGTGTCAATTAAGCGCCTAATATAACACTCTTAAACAAGAAAAAAGAAGGTTTGTTTTTCTATCACATAAAAAATCTACTCGGGAGGCAAATATACACAGGACTGAAACAGGGAAGAGCACATGTACAGCCTGACTCCTTAAAGCTGACATCTCTGCAGTGGAGGTGGGGGCACTCTTAACTACCTGTAATAGAATGTGTTTGGTTCCTTAACTGAAAGTTGATTTCTAAAATGCAGCCTACCACTCTAAGGGAAGTGACACAATAGACCAGTATCAATAAGAATGGACTTTGAGACAATAAAACTGAATGACCTAGTTTTCCCTAGCCTTTTTGTCTCATGTCCATTGACAGCTCTTCTGAGACACGTTAAATCATGAAGTGAGCATGCATGCTCATATCATGTGTGTGATAATTACGATGAGCATGGAAGAGTGAATGGCCGGGCAGCTTGAAAGAGACACAGTAAGCTAGGGTAATTCTTATAAGGGGTTTAAAAGGAAAGAATTCCTCCTTACAGACAACATCTAAAACTGTCCCAAGTGCTTGCATATTGTAATTTTCAAACTTCTACAATTCAGAGTCCTATTATTTCCTCCTTTTATGTTGTTTTTTCCTCTTCCTCTTGGTCTACTGAAAAACTTGAAATAGATGCTTGGTAAAGCCTTTGGTGTTTTGAAATTAATTCTACATATATGAAACTGAATACACCCTTCGTTCTCCCTCTGAGTGTTACTAGAACAGTCTATTTAATCTTTCAGAAAAAACAGGAAATAATTGCTTGTGGAGAAGGACCACACAAGAAGTTAGGTATGAAGCGAAAAGCGAATCTCAGAGCTGTAAACTCAATCCTAAACTCAAAACAAAAAGCCATAGGACCCCGGATGCAATTAGAATAAGAAACCCTCCAGAAAGGCAGAGAGGTCTTTGTTTTAAGAAGAGTTTGTGTGAATTATTTGTAGAAAATAAAGAACATGAGCATCATTAAAAGGTCCCCAGAGGCAGGGTCCTGGAGATACCACAGTATAAACATTCCTGGAGGCGAACTGGACTTTTGTAGTCTGGGAGAGAAATCCTGTCTGATATACCAGGGACACAAGGCTCAGCCACTCCTCTGGGTGGGTTGTTTTGTTGTGTGTGGACAGCTGAGAGTCATTTCCTCATTTTGATTCTAAACGAAGCTGGACACTCCCTTTTCATTTCTGAAAAGTAATCCCTGTGAGAAGGTTGCTGGCATGTTTACCCACTGGGCTTGGAGCCAGTCAGACGACACCTACATTTCTGGGTCCTTCTCTCTGTTTCCCAACCTCCCGCTCTAAGATGGCCAGAGATAAAAAGTTGCCAGTCAGGATGCCAGAACTTCAAAGGGCTGTCACAAGTGTACACAAAGGCTCATTTGTTCAGCTCTTGGACTGAGACACCAGTGGCTTCCAGGCACAGAGAACCCAAGTTTGGCTTTTCTTAACATTTTGCTTGTACCATCTGGCTGACGGAGGAGGCTTTATTTCATTCCATCTTTTGTCCAAAGTAAGGCTGACTGAATAAAAATACCATTTCAGCCTTTTCATCTACCTCTGCCTTTAAATCGTCCCTGCCACTTTAAGGTCACCTCTACTTCTGGAACTAATTAAATGATAAGACTTCTCAAATAAACTCTATTTGCCTTGGAGAATTCTAATGTACTGGATCCTAGATTTTAGAGATAAGTGTGGCAGATAACTGAGCACTCACAATTTGCATCATGAAGATAGTTTCTGAGTGTCCCATCAAACATAGATGTCAAAGAATGCGTGAAGTACATTCAACTCCATTGTTTCAACCTATTTTACTGATAATATTCTATTTTCTTCTGTGGAATGTGAACTGAGACATATTTCTAACATTTGCTGAGATAAAACACAAATTTAGACTAAAGTGCTTACACTTACAGACACAGATACACTGAATATGTGTCCTTAAAGGTCATCCCACAGTGTGGCCAAGGAAGGATGTAACTATTTAAAAAGAACAGATGTGGACCTGTGAAATGAAGTAGGTACATTCCATCATCAAATAAGAATGTGTTTTATGTACTTACCTGGCAGAGGAGATACCATGATCATGAAGGTGGTTTTCCCAGGGCGAGGCTTATCCATTGCATTGCTGACCCCTGCCATTTCCCCAAATACAGGAAACTTGATTGCATTATTTGTAGTAGTAAAGGATTGTGTTTGCGCTCTCCCCTGGGAGGGGGGTTAGAATGTGTTTTATTTATATGAGAAATCAAATTCAAGATAGGGTTATGTATAACATAGTATCTATATCACCTGCAGGTAATTAATTCTGCAGACCTCTGTAGTGCTATCAAGAAGTCAGCCAGTCCCCTCTGATACTTCTCTTGACAATGCCCTTTCTTAATGCTGAAAATGGGACACTAGCTCATAAGAAATTATATGTGTTCGGTGTCATTAACAATTTTTAATTCACACAGCAATAAGAATTATTTCTAACTTAAAGTCTCTATGTACAATTAAGATAGGCCAACAGTTCATTTACCTTCTCTCCACCATGTAGTAACTTTAAAATAAGCACTATATAGAAAACCATGATTTGGACAGTGTGTATCAGGAAGCAGATGACAGTGACTGAGAGATGAGAAAAAAAGAAGTCATTCCCATGGTGACCCCAACTTATCTCCCTAGAAAGCTTCCAGGCAAACCATAGGTAAGCAAAAACCCTCCTGGGGCTCAGGAGAGCCCTGCATTGAGCTGACAGAGCTGGTACCCTGGGAAGCCAGACAGCCAGAGCTCAGAGGCAGCTTCTAAAAAGAAGAGCACTTGAGTGGTAACTCCAGAGCCTTTAGCGGAATTTCAACAACACAAGTGACTGGGAGGAATAACACATCTGGGGAAAAAAGTCATGGGAGGTCAGTTCTGAGATCACATGAGAATAAAAAAAGATGGGGTACCCAAAAGACACAGTGAGACATCAAACAGCATGCTAGTGTCAGAGTGGGGAAATGGTCAGTGTGAGACTAAGAACTCTTCTAGTCCCTCTAAGGACAGGGAACCTGTGTCAGGGAGGACAGCTGCAGGAGGGCCGTCTGATCTCTCCACAAACACTCCTTTCTCATTATCCGTTATGTGCATGCACACAGAAGTTAGGCGAGAGACTGTGACTTTGTCCTGGCTCTCGATTAAACAGAGGAAAGAAAAAAAAAAAAAAAAGAGGGCTCAAGGGAAAGCAGGAAGTGAGAAGAAGTCCGGGTTGCTACTCTCTCTTCCACCTTATTAGTTTCAATCAGCAGCAGATGAATCGAACTCTCTGGATCATATTATGAAACCCGATGTCCCCATCAGTTAGTAAGCTGTAAGGAACTTGTAAGGAGCAGCAGAGCCTATCTCCTTCCTTCCTGTGAACAGTGTGCCCATTGTTTAGCAGATTGCTGCATCCGTGTTGTGCACTTACCCACACAATGGGATGGAAGCTGTTTGCGGCACACCTGTGACACTGGCACACAGCTCAGTTTGCTATTAACGAAATCATGAATCTGATATACTCACTCACTCTAGCTATTTGAATTACACATTTATTCTTCCAAAGTTGCTCTCACACGCCTTTGCTGAAAAGAAAGATTTAATCTTCTTCAGTTTGCTTCTTTGCCTTTTAGAGTTGGAGGGCTCCCGTCTACTTTTCTTTTTTAAAAACAAAAGAACCAACATTGTGGTTTCATTCAGACTTCCAGCTGCTAAGATAAAAATCTAACGTTTTGGGGGCGGGCAGAGCATGATTCTGGACTAAGCTGCTCCGATGTTCCCTATCAGCTGAAGCAGCAAAGCATCCAGGGTCCCATTCCCACCTTAGGATGTCCTTCGATTTCTGTGATCAGCTGCTATGACCAGACAGTGACTGCTATGCTGGCTGGCACTATTTTGAAAAGACTGTCTGGGAGGCAGGGGTCTGCAAGATTTCTGAGGCTGTCTGGGTAGTACCTGGACTCAACATTTTTCGTCCCCTCCCTGCCCCTGCTGGTAAAGTTCTGTTGCTCTCTAAGTCTATACAGATGAGATGAGTCTGAGGAGGGAACCATATTCCTTTAACACACTTGCACAAGTTTGATGAAAAGTCAACACATCGACTGAAATGCTTTGTTTCCAGTGAGAAATATTACATTTCTTTGCCACTTCTGAATTTAGCCATAGATAAGAGTAAGCTGTGCGGTGTAGCAGTGTATCACTGGTTTTCATTCATTTCAGCCCTCATTGACTGTCTACTCTTTTGAGAGGCAGCCAAGAAAAGAATGAATCAGATTGTGTTCTCTCTTACCCACTACAGGTTCTAAAACTGTGCTCACACTAGTCGGGAGTCTGTAATGCTGGGAGCCACATCTTCCCACTCTAGAGGGGTGAAAGTAAAAGCCACAAGTCTCATGGAGACTTCATTACAAGAACATGGCCTAAAAGGAGACACTGAGAGCATTCCTCACGCCCAGAACTTCGAATAAATTACCACCCCCATATTAATTTCTCCCAAGGGTTTCTTTAAATGTCTAAGAAAATATGTTCAAGATTCATTGGAGCCCAACACCTTTTATGGCAAACAAACTTTTATGAGAAATGCAGCTTTTTTTCATTCGGCTCTGCTGCATTTCTTTCTTCTGCTAGATATAACATAATCTAAACCAGTTGATTTTAGAATTATAATAACCCATGATGATGTTTTTATAAGGATATCCATCCATCTACCAAGCCAGGTATGTGCATGTATGTATTTTTACAGAGAGAAACCCTGGGAAAGGGAGGAAGGAAGGGCAGAGAGAGAGAGAAAAGAGGAGGAGAGGCGAGAGCAGTGGAGGGGAAGGGAGGGGAGGAGAGAAGAGGAGAGGAGAGGGGAGGAGAGGAGAGCAGAGCAGAAGAGAGGAGAGGAGAGCAGAGCAGAGGAGGGGAGGGGAGGGGAGGAGAGGGGAGGGGAGGGGAAAGGAGAGGACAGGAAGAGGAGAGGAAGAGGAAGAGGAGAGGAGAGCAGAGCAGAGGAGAGGAGAGGAGAGGAAGAGGAAGAGGAGAGCAGAGGAGAGGAGAGGAGAGGAAGAGGAAGAGGAAGAGGAGAGGAGAGGAGAGGCAGACAGATCTCTGAGTTTGAGGTCAGCCTGGTCTATATAGCAAGTTCCAGTACAGCCAGGACTACACAAAGAAACCCTGTCTTGGTCTTGACAAAACGATAGATAGATAGATAGATAGATAGATAGATAGATAGATAGATAGACAGACAGACAGATGTAGTAGTTTGATGGTTTTAGTAGGTTTGGGTGAACATAAATGTCTCTAGTGTTAGATTTGGAGCATCCTTTGATTTTGTTATTTAACATGATTGTTACTTAATATTTCACTGTTTTCAGACTTCTATTCAAAATAAATCTGCTTCATTTTGAAAAAAAATGAAAGTATTTTTTTTTTAAAAATCCTTGCAAAGACATGCAAGATTTTGTGGACCCTTTGGAAAATGTGTCTCCAAATCTCTGGCCAGAGGCTAAAGTGTGAAAGGCTTGTGGGAAATGTCCCCCATGTTTTGGATGACTATCACATGCTATTCTAAAATGAAGGTGTTCTTGGGCTGCTTCCTTATTTCTTTCTACCTGTCAACAATTTTGACACCCTGCATGTTTGATGACTCAGTCTCATCAGAGACTGGTTATCTGTACCAAACCTAGGGCACCCAGCAAAGACTCTTATGGATGTAGTAGAAACAGATACTTTGACTAATAGAAATGTCTGTACTATTATATTGAGGCTTTGAGACAAGCAATTTAAAAAATCAGGCTAAAGGGCTGAAGAGATAGCTTGGCAGTTAAGAAAGCACACTGTTCTTGCAAGGGATCAGAGTTTAGATCCCAGCACCCACATTGGCTGTCTCCTGTGACACCAGTTCCGGGAAAACTAATGCCTCTGGCCTTCCAGAGTGTCTGCATTTATGTGCACATACCCACACACTTGTTCATGCACATAACTATAACTAACAAAAACAAAATTTCAAAAGAAAGAAAAATAAAGATTTAAAGAAAAAGAAAAGTCAATATGGAAATGTGCACAAATTAACACAAAAAGAAATCCTGAGAGATGTGGGTACAGAAATAACTGTTATGATTGCATGGGAAAGCTTTTAATCATACTAGAATATATTTTATTAATGCTCCTAATGAAGAGGGGGAAAGAAGAAACTTAAGTTGAAGTCTACATTTGGTTAATTACAAATATTTTAAAATTAAGCAGCTTTCCAGAATTCAAGTAGAAGGATAATGAGGGGAATATACAAGTGGTTTCCATGGGAAGTGAACAAGAAGAAACATCCATGTGTTTTGTCTTTTTTTTTGGGGGGGGGGTAGTTGGTTTGGTTTTGGTTTTGGTTGTTGTTGTTTTGCTTTTGTTGTTGTTTGTTTGTTTGTTTTACAAAGAGAATTAAGTACCTGTCTTGACTATGTGCTAATGAAACTGCATCTTCAGTTATGGCAGCATGAACTGTTAACCAATGATCAAACTCTACAGAGAAGAAACAGAAAACACCAGATGAAGGCTTAACAGAAGGAAGCCACACTAGCTCTCTCCTCTCTCTGTCTCTGTCTCTTTCTCTTTCTCAATCTCTCTCACACATACTTGCCTTCTTTCAATGATCTAAAGATCTAAATTGAAAAATATGATATTTGATCCTCTACACAACTCTTTAAGTACTATAAAATAATACTCAATGTGTATTAGTAGACCGTTCATTTCAGAACAGACAACTGCCAAATGTGTAATTATCCACAAAGGAAAAATTTGATACCTGTCTCCTTTGAATTAGGCACAAGAAAAAAATGCACAGATAGGAATATTCTGAAACAGTGTCCTATTTGTTTTAAAGTGGTTGAGTAGGCAGGTCTGTGTTTGTGCTGTTAACATTTTACTCCAATGTGATTCTGGAGTACATGAGGGCTCCTTTCTTTTCTCTATTCTCAAGAAGTAACTGGGATGTTGTTCTATTTAGGAAAGTAACCTCCTTTGTCCCTCATAAATTCCAAGAACTCTAATTTGGGACCAAGTCTCTAAGGAGGAGTCTGTCCATTTGTAAGGACTATGCTGTGCGCATGTCTCAAATAAAAGGTCTAATTAGCTCTGTTTCTCTTTTAACATTTTGTTTATCCATCTAATTATCTTGGGAAAAGTGATGCATGTTTACCAAGTTAAAAACAAGCAATTACACAGTAGAGATGATC